TATATATTACTAGGGATAACGTTGCTCCGAATTACTTTGGATCATGCGTATCAAATTACACATCAACGGACTCAATAAATTCACAAAGAATTGATCCCTTAATTTTCATCCTAGTGGTCTCCGATCATGTAAGAATAGTATTGGTGGCTTAAACATAGAATATGAATTTTAATAGACTTAATTGTTAGATAATAAGTCTACGACAAGAAAGACATACTCAAACACACAAGAGAGGAAGACAACCGATAGCAGACAGCTATTGATAATCAATAAAGCAAACAACACAAATTGACTTGCTTTTCACCAAAAATATTTTTATAAATAGGAAGGAAGCAATATCCACTGGAAAGCATATCGTTTACATTTTATAGAATACACCAGCACTTGACGTCTGCAACAACAAAATGCGTGTGAACGATTGTAGCCCTCGGCGTTCCATACCCTTCAGGGCCACAATCAAATTAGCCTAAAATCCGTTTTGACAGAATTTAATCAATATAGCTAAGGCTCATTCGCTGCTTTCATTCGCAATAACTAATGGCGTTTATGTTTAGTGTAATAAATACTAGTACAGTATTAAAATCCTTAATAAATAATTTTGATTTTGTAAGAGAAATCTGTCTAAAACAGATTGTAAAAAGTAGGGAAACTATTAATACTGAAAAAGAGATGTAATTCGTACTAGTAACTCCACATTCGATCATCGATAGTTATATTGCCGGAAATGTTTATACACCTATTAAATTTACATAAAAGGGAATGTTTTCGAAGGAAAGAGAATGTTTGTCGATCTAATGTTATAGACATGTAGCTAAAATTGTTTTCAATTTTAACCAGCCGCATTATGTTTGTTTCATTTTCATTAATTTATTTGACCAAGATGAATACAAACACTACAATGAGGACGATGACATGATGATAATGGTGAATATGATGATGGTTATGATGATAATGATGATGGTGGTGGTGGTAATGATGATGATGATGATTAAGTGTATTAAATTCGAAGGGGATCTGCCACAATATATTTCCATCAATTTGACCTCTTCTTTAACTACATTGTCATATAGCACCGTCTTTCGGAAGAGAGGTTTAGTCGTTGGATTCGTATACGTGGCCCATGTGTACGTTAAAGTACACTGTACACTATTTAGGAAAGAGCATGCGATTGACCTGGCGTGCGGCTCATAATTATCACCTGCAGAGTGGTACTGCACTTTACCTGCTCTGCACTTTTTGAGGATCCCTCCTTGTAAGATACAGCTCAGAGATCCTTGGGACTCATCTAGGACTAAATTAGTTATTTTCCTTTTTATCAACTGTAAAAACATCCAAAGACAAATGTAAAGCTTTGATCACACTGCCAAGTTTTATGTAACAGCTGTCTTTGATTTTCCCCTAGGCCTACATATTATGATTATGGAAAGCCGGGCACTCACACTGCTTCGTACGGCGATCGTACGACCGCCGGCCGACGATTCCAACTACGCTCCCTGTGAATTCTAGACGACGCAACGCCATCTGCTGATTGTGGCAGTTTGAACGCTTTCGATTCGCGCCATCCGTTCGCGCGCGTCATGGCGTTGCCTTCATAGAATCGCGTCGGCCGACGACCGTCGGACGCAGGGTGTGCCCGGCTTAATATCACACGCATGCTCAAGTCACAGGTATTTGCCTCATGAATCCGGTAGTGTGGTCATACCTTTATACGAGTTAAAATATTGGTTGGAAAGAAGATCTGGATTTGAAAATAGAGTAAGGATATGCTAATCAATTACATTACCAGGTAGAGTTCCAATCAATAACTATGTGATAAAAGAAACAGTATTGCAGTGTATCGGTGCAATTAATTATGAATGTTCAGTGAATTATTAGAGCAAGACGAGTCTGGTTAACGTTAAAGGAAATTAAAAGGATACCGTACATCAACTAGAGAGACTGAAAACTGAGATCTCTGTAAAGTACCCCATCTGCTAAGTTCGGGTCCGGGATTTATCAATCTCAGCTTAGCAAATGTCTTAAGTCAAAAAGTTAAGATGTCCATAAGGCTAAGCAAATATCTAAAGCTGATTTATCAAACCATCTTAGCAAAATCTTAGCTTAAAAATGGCACATGCGAACAATCAACTATTTAATGTTAAGCAATTTTTAAACTAAAGCAATATTGATAAATCTGACTTAAGGGAAAAAATGGACTTAAGGCGAATTTAAGCTGATTTTTAGTTTTATAAATCCGGCACCTGATCTTTTCTGGGGTATGGTGCCTCCTATCATAAATAAAGGGAAAAGAGCTAGTCAGCTGGTGTAATGTAATAATCGACAGCTAAAACAAAATGATCTTACCAAACATATCGGGTTAGAGATCTCGTCATCTTCCACCACATACGCGTTGTTGAGGTAACGCTCTCTGGCCCTCTCGGTACTCATGTGACGTTCAGAATCTTCTCTCGCACCCTCCAATTGTTCCCCTTCCTCGCGTGGGCCTTCTCGACTAAATGCTTTGTCAACAGATAATAGCGATGCATACAACTGAAATTTGATATTCAAAAACATTAGGTAACAACATTGAAGTATAAAAATTAAAATATGACAATAACAATAGCGCTAAAATTTTCAGCTGTATACTTTACTTCTTTACCATTATAGGTTGTTCTTTCTTATAGTTTTTTAACCTTGTTACAATATTTACCGGTACAATGTTAAAATAATTTTACCCTTAATGCACATAGCCTAGGCCTAAAGTTAGTGTGTTTTCCAGACTTACCACTACATGTGTATTGTTACTTTTTTACAGTACTTTGTTATTAAACTCACTATCATTAGTTCGTATACTTTCAGTTTAAATGGCGGCTATTAAATCTTTTTAATCGTTTTCTTTATTTCTTTTTATTTATGTTTTTGTTTTCTTTTTTTCCCTCGTTTTGTTAAAACTTATCAAGTAAATCAAAGCACGCCTCTCATATTGGATTTTATCAGATAAAGGTTTTCGCATAAAGATATTTTTCACGATTTATTAAATATTTAGACAATATACTAATGTATGTGTGTTTTTATGGATAATCGATTTTCGTAACAGCTCTATAAAACTGAAGAAAAGAACAACTTGAATAAGCCTACGTCATTTTATTGCGCACAAAGTTTTTAAATATAAGATACATATTTTTATGAGTTATTGGGTTAACGTGAGTGGGATTCATTCTACTTTTAAAGATTTCTTCGTTGTTTTATAGCGTACAATTTCTCACAAAATGTCATGGGTTTACCCCAGTGGCACACTACAACATAGCTGCTGATATCATAAAATGCAAAGCCCCTATGACACTGATTAAGTTTTCTATCAAGATATGTAGTAAAAACTAAACAAATGACATGATGATTTTTGCTAGAAATGTAGGATTGTAATGTCCATACCCTACTAAAAGTTTCATTCATGATTTACAATAGTCCCTGACAGATTGCTAATGTTAACAAACTTTTGCATTAGTACGCAAACAAATTTGCCACAGCGAATCTACCATTAGCAACGTCCCACGGCATGATACGTTTTATTGACGTACTTAATATAAGTCCGTAATTATGACATCGATTTAAATGTCAGGTTTATATCAAATAAGCATGTTGTTAAACATGATCTGAATGTACAAGTTCAAAGGTTAATGAGATGCGTTCAGAATCACGTTAGTGCTGAATTGAAGTACGGTAAGCAAACTGCACACAATGTAATGTAAACTTTTAATGGTTTTAGTTACCGAAGTCTAAGAAACTTCTAAAAAATCTGTCTTTAATTTTTATTCACTTAAATTACATTTTTTGGTGTGGGAAAATTATACGTTGTATTTCTTTATTTCTTAGTTATCAAGAGACAGTACCGTATAGTCGATCCAAATAGTCGATTAATGCCAAGTAAACGAATAGTTGAACCTCGTTGAACAAGGCAACATATATTAGGCCTCTTTAGTCTGTATTTCCTAAAGAATGAATTATTATAATCACTTGAACTTTACCAATAGGGAGATTTCGCAAACGTACGAAAACGATAAACGAATACGAATACGTCATTAACATTATCGTCATTCGTGCCTAAAACATTCTTGACAATACGCTGTATGAGCTGCATGTGATCCTTGATTCATGCAAAAGGCATGAATCGCCTACGTTGTGACAAATATGTGGGAAGGTTTGTCTTAGAAACTCATGACGTATCCGTATTCGTTCATTTTCGTAAGCTTGCGAACTCCATAATACAATCTAAATAACAAATAATATTAATTTAAGAAAATATGAAACACAAAAACATAGCATTCGGAGTATATAAACCAGTAGCTCTAGGATACATTTTCTGATGGAGTGGGGGTTAAGCTGTCAGACAGGGGGAGGGGCGTTAGCTTGTATGTCTGAGAAGGGAGAGGGTTTGGCAGGGATTCCCCTCCCAAATGATTTTCTTTTATTTATTTGTTTGGCCCGACTGCCCGAAGAGCTCGGTTGGTAGGGGAAGGGGGTGCTTGACTTGTCCGATGGGCTTAAGCTCCCTGAGGCCCCCTCCACCTGCTGACACCGCCACTGATATAAACACAATTTAAAAACACATATTTAACGGGTTAACTTATTAGGAAAATATTAAGAATTATCTTAATTCATATATTACAGTATATTAATAGTTTAGCTAAAACTGTCAATATATGCTCTGATGAAGTGTATATAGAACATGAAGATGCATTTTCTACCCTTCAGATGTAAATAAACAGTACCGTACACAAGCCACAAACTACAGTTAAAGTATTCTATAGTCTTAATGCATATAAGTGCGTGTTGCTTCGAAAAAAAAGTAAAAAAAAGTACAGTACAGTAATACAAAATAAATGTTTTGTGCAGAAAACAATGATGTACTATCATTCTTCGAATTCTTAGAGCATCGATACTTTCATAATTCATAATTTAAACAATAACAATTATTCTCTTCACACATTATTGTTGCACCAAAAGGAATTAGCTTACTCACTAAAATTAATAGTTTTTTTTTCAGATTAGATAACACGTATTTGTTTAAGATATAAGCCTTCAACAATTCTACGGAATTGCACTTCAAAACTGCAGTTGATTTAATTGCACACAAATGTATTCTGAAATTAATTAATGCGTCAATAGAATAATGAATTACAATATTGCCATTATTGAATACATGAATAATAATATTTTTAATACTTTTAATTCAGTAGTATGTTATACTGGTACTAGGCATAGGTGTCACACAGAAAGGAGCGTTCACGTTGCGGCCCTGTTCCTACTAATCATTTCACCACTATTTCAATCATGCACGAAAATCGTATCGTTGAGTTTTAGAACTAAACCAACAAGTGGACTCGATAAGAACGTTTTCGATGTGCATCTTAGTACTCGCCTCTTCTTTATCACTGATTCGATTTTTTTTTTCGTTTCGTTACCCATACGAACCGAATTCGGATTCGGTGCGAATCTACCTTAAGGCAACTTCATCTTATATTCATTGGCTGTTATTAAAAACAATGTGGTTGTGGATTTCAACCATAAAGGATGGATTTCCAGAAAATAACATTTGAAAAAAAGCATTCCCATATCAAATACTTTTCATGAATATTTCTAGCATTTAATATGAATAGCACTCAAAAAGAAATTATGAATATACCTGAATAAAGTCCGGATTTAGCACCGTTGTCTACCAAGATAAATATGGTACACTATCGATATGCTGTAGTATATTGGCTGGTAGAATGGAATGTGGCTATAGCTATTGATGTCAAATATTGAATAATATTATTGAATTCTCACTGTGGTCGTGAAAGTACAGACAAGAATAATTGAAAGCCTTTATTTACGCACTAATTACACATGCGTGTATCTATTTGCGATGGACATTCAAAGTTCATAAGGGTGGTTCAATAACTGTCTGACATGCTTTCTCCCGCGCATCGTTATCTTAATTTGCAACACTGTAGGCGCTACCGCTATTTTATATACAATATAACGAACTACTCAAAATTGCATTCAAATTATTAAATCAATATGAATTATAATTATTGACCTATTTTATGGACCCTATCTGTATAATAATTTGATAACTTTAATAACCCACAAACCTACCACAAACATGACTCCAGGTAATATGCCTTGAAAGTTAAAGGTGTTGGTAAAGGTAGGAGAATAACCCATAACTTGCAGCGTCATTGTGCTGAATTGCGTATGGGCGTGGTCTGTGACTACCTAGCAGCCGTAAAGAGGCGCTTCGTGGTAGCTACAAGTTCACATCATTCCACAACGACAGTGGCTGAAATGAACCATGGCATCGTAGTAACTCCCTACTCTTCCGAAAGATGCAATAGGTTCTTTAAAGTGCACACGAGCCAGATGTATACACTGGACCTCAATTTTAAGTCCTTATTCGAGAAGACTTGGTTCTACCAACCGAACCATGGGCGAGGAGCGACTGAACCACCGCCGATGTTAATGCTGTAGCTAGCGGCGCCCCTGTCTTACGGCTCAGCCACTCCACTCGCCCCCAGAAACGATACAAATGTAGAAGTCATAGGTTAAGCAAATGGTATTGTTTTATAGACTTCCTGTAATAGGCTTAACACTTTTAAAGATTTTTGTCTTCCTTAAATGACAGACTTTATATCTTTATTAACCATCCATCTACACTGTAAAATCAGCGTGGATAATTTACAAAAAGCTCCACACAATGTTGTCCTGCTTTCAGCGTCACGTTTAAAAGCTAAACGTGTTTAGGTTCCTGACGCGCTTAGGAATAAATGTACTTAACTATTTAAAATCATATCAAATAGATAACCACAGTTAATGCTAAACACGTCATGATCCTAAACATGTTATTAAAGCAATATGATTGTTAACCACTACATCGAGGTTTGCAGGAACTGGTCTTGTTATAGAAACATACTACTGTATCAAGACGTTCTCATCAGTAAGCCAACTAAAGGAAATTACAAACCTAATGATCGGTAGCATAAATGGTACCGAGTTAAGTCTGATAGTGGACTAATTTGTTTTGTTTTTTTTTTTTGTTTTGTTTTTTTTGTAAAAAGAATGATTAGGCCTACGGTTCAAATAAAATGACGATGAATTATATAAATTGTAGTGTTAATTGTTATATTACACCGTTGTAATTAACACAGTGGATGAGAAGATGAAATTACAATAGCGCCACCAAGTAGCTGCGAAGTTTTTAGAGCGATTGCACGAACTTTGATAGTATCATTCGCCAACGAAAGAAAATACATGATATCAAGCGATGCACGACAGAGCTGCTCGCCAGCTGTTGCTAGCCGTCATGTCGCGTAGAGAGAAATCTCTTAATACGCGCTTGGCCACAGCAATAAGCCGGTGATATAAATATGTCATATAAAGTATGCTGCTAAGGCATATAATTTGAATGTTTTTTGTAGGTTCATAGACCTACATTTACTACCAATCACGAGTGCCGTTACATTTCTATTAGATAACCATTGATATATTTCGTTCTTGACTGAGAGCTGTGC